TTCTAAGAAATGACACATGAACTTGAAAGAGCTGGCAAGTCCTGAGGTCATGTATTAAACCTCAGGCTGTAGGTTTATCCCATGTCACATAGCTTCAGGGGCTGAAGAACCCAAGCTTGGCAGGCCAAATGGCAAGATGCTGGATCACAGGCTGTGGAGGATGATGAATCCAAGATCAGCTGGTAAAATGGCCCCTGCTGGCTCACAGGCCGCTTAGGCTATTAAATTCAAAGATCAGCAGGCAATATGGCAGGCTGCTGGCTCAAGTTCAAAGAACCAGAGGTCAGATGATAACAAGGCAGACAAGTCAGACTGAGCAAAAAGCCAGAGAACTTTTCCAGAGGATTCAAATATATTGGAAGTATGTCATACCCCTAAGAAAACCCCCTTTCAACTGATGGGCTATTCATAGTACATCTCTTCCTGGAGGGGATTACATTTTGTCAGCTCCCATCATGGGGGATGACAACACTGTAACTGTTAAACAACTGAGAATAATGGCCCAGCTAAGTTGATACACAACCTTAACTGTCTTAAGTTAGATGCTAGAACCTGAAAATCAGTAAAAGAATACATAAAGCACAGGTATATATTTAGCAGTGCTTTTGAAAAACTTTTATTTATATATAGAGAGATATCCATTTCTGTGTGTAGTCATTGAACCACCACATTTGCAATTCTGAACTTCAATTTAATATGTTTGGACAAGGAAGAATTAATTGTGGGGCCAGATTTTGCTATTTGTAGCATCATTAAATATGCTACATTTACATGATTAAGTACATGAATCTATTTGGTTTCTGGGTTCAGTTAAAGTTTGGATAGTTTGTAGTGAGAGTTCACATTTCAAGAAACAGCATTCCTATATACAACAAATTAATCTATTTAACTTCTCACTTCAAATATAAATAGTTTGAATGGAAAAGAATATGCGTGAGTGCTTTTATTATGGTTGTCTTCATCACAAGGGAAAGCCAGGAAACTGTTAGGAATTTACTTTTCGCCTCCTCAGTTTCTGCATTGCTGATATTACCTCCTTATTTCTTAATGTGTAGATCAAGGGGTTTAAGAGAGGGGTAAAAACAGTATAGAATATTGAGAGAAACTTATCCACTGGGAAGCTATTGAAAGGCCAAGCATAGATGAAGATGATGGGCCCAAAGAAGAGGGTCACCACAGTGACATGGGCAGTCAGGGTGGCCCGGGCCTTGGCCATGCCTGCTGAGGATTGACGTCGCACAGTGACCAGGATCACTGTGTAGGAGATGAGCAAGAGCACAAAGGAACTCATTGTTATTAGTCCACTGTCTGAAAGCATCAGTATCTCAAGGGTATAGGTATCAGTGCAGGCAAGTTTAATAACCATGGGAAGGTCACAGAAAAAGCTGTCCACTTTATTTGGACCACAGAATGGAAGTTTTACTATGAAGACCAACTGGCTTACCGAGTGCAGGACACCAATAAGCCAGGAGCCCAACACAAGGCCTGTGCACTTGTGTATACTCATAATAGCTGCATAGTGCAGGGGTCGACATATGGCTACATATCTGTCATATGCCATGGCCATGAGGAGCATCATTTCCCCACCAGCAAAGACATGGTGAAAGAATATCTGGGCCATGCAGCCCTCAAAAGAGATGGTCTTCTGCTCCATGAGGAAGTCAACAATCATTTTGGGAACTGCAAAAGTGGACAGACACACATCAATGAAGGAGAGGTTGCTGAGCAGGAAATACATGGGTGTGTGGAGCACAGGTTCAGAGAGGACAGTGAGCACAATGAGGAGGTTTCCCAACAAAACAGACAAATAAAAAAGTGTGAAAAATACAAAATAGAAAAGTTGTAGCGTTCGAGGACCTGAAAGACTGTGCAACACAAATTCAGTCACTCTTGAGTTATTTCCTTCGTTCATGATTTCAAGTTTTTGAAATCAGATGAGAACATTTCCTGTAAATGAAATGGAAATGGATATAACATCATAGGATTGTGGGAGTACGTAAGCAAAGCTGAGCCTGGCATCAAATCTCACGCTCTACACTATGTACTTTAGATCTCGATATTGTTGTTTTGTGCCATTGAGTATGTTCTGATTTAGTTGACCCTATAGGACAGAGTAGAACCGCTCCATAGGGTTTCCTAGGCTGTAATCTCTATAAGAACATATCGCCAGGTCTTTTCTCTTGTGGAGCCCCTTGTGGGTCAGAAGTGCTTCCCTTTCATTTAGCAGCTGAGTGCTCACCCATTGCTCCACTAGGGCTCCTTTAAGTCCTCACATGCATGCAGATACAGTTGCCTGCTAACATTTCTGTGTAGTGATTCTATATACTTGTCTTTCATCTCTGCATCCTAGCACGATACCTATATTCTAAAAATACAATTTTCACACCTCACCTCTACCACCTCTACCACTTTATAACTCCTTAAAAATACGATAGTGAGGCTTTAGAATCAGACTGACCACAAAGTTTCAAAGGCTCTCTCATAATTCCTAGCGATGTGACCTTGAGTAAATTCATTAAGCTCATTGTGCCTCCATTTTTGCATCTGTAGATTGGGGAATTATGATATATATCTCATACCAAAAAAAAAGCAAATCCACTGCTATTGAATCCATTATGACTCATGTTGTTGTTGTTGTTATTTGCCATCGAGTCGGCCCCTCCTTGGGTTTCCGAGGCAGTATCACTACAGAA